CGCCCGGCTAGTTTTTTGTATTTTTTTTAATAGAGACGGGGTTTCACCGTGTTAGCCAGGATGGTCTCGATCTCCTGACCTCGTGATCCGCCCATCTTGGCCTCCCAAAGTGCTGGGATTACAGGCTTGAGCCACCGCGCCCGGCCAAAGATCTATATTTTTATTTATTTTTTTGCGACAAGGTCTCACTCTGTCACCCAAGTAGGAGTGCAGTGGCAATCATAGCTCACTACAGCCTCCAGTTCCAGGGCTCAAGGAATCCCCCTGCCTCAGCCTCCAAAGACTCTGTCTCTACAAAAAAACATAATCTTTGGCCAGGCGTGGTGGCTCACACCTGTAATCTCAGCACTTTGGGAGGCCGAGGTGGGTGGATCACAAGGTCAGAAGTTTGAGACCAGCCTGGCCAGGATGGTGAAACCCCGTCTCTACTAAAAATACAAAAATTAGCCAGACGTGGTGGCACACGCCTATACTTCCAGCTACTTGGGAAGCTGAGGCAGGAGAATCATTTGAACCCGGGAGGTGGAGGTTGCAGTGAGCCAAGACCGTGACATTGAACTCCAGCCTGGGGACAGAGTGAGACTGTGTCTCAAAAACAAAAACAAAAACACGCTGACACACGCTGCACCAAGGATGAACCTTAAGGACATGAGCTAAGTGAAATAAGCCCGTCACAGTAAGGTAAAGACTGCAGTCATATGAGGTCCAGAGAGCAGCGAAATTTACAGAAACAGAAAGAATGGTGGATGCCAGGGGCCAGGGAGAAAGGCACGGGGACTTAGTGTTTAACGGGTACAGAGTTTCAATCTGGGAAGACGAAACAGTTCTGGAGATGAATGGTGATGAGGCTGTATAACAACATGAACATAATTATGTCAACAAAGGTATGTACAGTTAAGAAAGATTAAAATGGTAAATTCAGTGTTACATATATTTTACCACAAAAAAATTACTGTGACAGTTTTATTTATTTTGAGAGTCTCACTCCGTAATCCAGGTTGGTGTGCAGTGGCACGATCATAGCCCACTGCAGCCTCAAACTCCCTGGCTCAAGCAATCCTCCCACCTCAGCCTCCGAATAGCTGGGACTACAGGCACGCACCACCAGGCCCAGCTATTTCTTTTAGTTTTTGTAGAGACGGAGTCTCACCATCACCATGTTGCTCAGGCTGGTCTTGAACTCCTGAGTTCAAGCAATCCTCCTGCCTGGGTCTCTCAAAGTGCTAGGTGGAAGGATCACCTTAGCCCAGGGAGGTCGAGGCTGTATGTAGTGAGTCGTGATTGCACCCCCCTTTTTATTTTTTTATTTTTTTGAGACAGTCTCACTCTGTTGCCCAGGCTGGAGTGCACTGGTGCAATCTCAGCTCACTGCAACTTCCAACATCCGGGTTCAAGCGATTCTCCTGCTTTAGCCTCCCGAGTAACTGGGATTACAGGCGCCCGCCACCACACTTGGCCAATTTCTGTATTTTTAGTAGAGACAGGGTTTCACCATGTTGGCCAGGCCAAAAGTAGTATGTATGTTCCTTCACGGTTTCTGATGTGCATATCAGAAAGATATGTACTTCACTGGTGTCTAGAGCACCCAACCTCCAGATCAAAGGACACGTTCCATGCAGGGCCACAAGACAATTTACTGAGGGGCAGGAAGAAAACACATTTCTAAAAAAATCATTATTTTATATTTTTAAAAAAGCCCAGGTGCAGTGGCTCACACCTGTAATCCCAGCATTCTGG